TATATATATATATATATATATATATATATTTATACATAACTGTTATCTATCATTGCGAAAAATACAGCGGTCAATTTTGGCACCGGCAAACATTAACACAGCACACATCCCTTTCATTCACTGTGTGCTACTATGACACACTTGATGAGCTTATGACACCTATATCTCTCTCTCTCTCTTCATTCAGAATACGAGACTATGCACATAATTACAAAAAAGCTCACGAGCACTTGTGATGAATTTTGAGAGGAAAAAAAAAAGAGAAAAGAAAACCCTTAATTCAAGATTCAAAAAAAGGTCATCCACAAACAAAAATAATGCAATATAATGGATGCATGACCAACAGTGCAAGTAGCACACGCACACTGCCAAAGGAAATGCATAAAAACAAAAGCTCTTTTAAACCAAAGTTGTGGTCGAGATCCAATCTCATTTCCTTCTTCACAACACTTCCAAAAAGGGAACATCTCATAAACCATTCCATAGAGAACACACTCTCACACACCGTTATATTAGTTCTCTCTATATTGCTCTCTAAGCTTAACTTTTCTCCTTCATATGCAATTCAAGGCCAAATTCCCTTTACCCCTTTTGTGAATTAATTATTATATTTTTGTTTCATGCACGTGAACTAACTAACTACATATATATATATATATATAGCTAGCATTGATTTAGAAGCAAAAGGGTTCATTTCGTTTGGCATAACACATCATTGGAGTTTCCACTTTCGAGTAACATAGAGTGTTAACTTGGGATTGATGCTCGCGGTGTCACCTTTGAGGAGCACCAAAGATGAAAAGAACCAAGGAGCGATGGAGGGTTTTTCGATGGCAACAACAACAACGGATGATGTTGACTTTGGCGACCTTTCTGAAGGTAACTTGTTGGAGAGCATCAACTTCGACGATCTCTTCGTCGACATCGATGTTGACGGAGATGTCTTGCCGGACCTGGAAATGTTCGGCGAGTTCTCCGTCAGCGCCGGCGAAGATTCGTCGGAGATGAACTCTTCGGGGGAGAACAGCAAGGTGGAGAATGATGAGAGTAATGTTATAACTGCTTCCAAGAAAGAAGAGGAAGATAAAAGTTCTTCAAACCGAGGAGAAGAGATAGTGAGCAAGAGAGATGAATCCGTGGTGGTGGACCCGGCACCACCAAAGGATGGTGGAAAGGGAAGAAAATCTTCATCAGCTCAATCGAAGAATAATAGTAGTAATAGTAATCCTCAAGGGAAGAGAAAAGTCAAGGTAGCTAGATAGTTTGCATTTTGAAGTTTGAACTTATCTTCTAGCTAAGTGCTTTTTTTTTTGTTTTTTCTTTCTAATTAGGGAATTAGTTTCATTGAAGTTTAGCTATAGCTAGGTAGCTATGTCATGAGTCATGTGCAACTGAGCTAATTCTTAAGGTTCTGTCACTGTCTCAATTATGGCTCTTGACAATAAGTTCCTTGGTTTCAAAAAAGAACTCACGGGTACGGGGTACCCTAGGATGCAGAAAAAGAAAGAGAGAGAGAGAGAAATTAAAATAGAGAGAAGTAACACAAGATACTTGTTATCGTACCCTTAGAATTGAAGAGATATTTGGATGAGTTTGAATACATCAAAGGAGAGGAAGGGGTATAGAGAGAGATTCTTAGTTAATAACAATATCAGAACCATTAAATTTGCAAAGTAGCATAAAATTTATCTACTTGAAATTGTTTGTTATGGGACTTTTGATTTGAAGAAGGTGCATATTATTAATATGTATGTATTTATGTTATTTTTTTTTCTGGGTTTGTGTAGGTGGATTGGACCCCAGAATTGCACAGACGATTTGTGCAAGCAGTGGAACAGCTAGGAGTGGATAAGGCAGTGCCTTCAAGGATTTTGGAGATTATGGGAATTGATTGTCTCACTCGCCATAACATTGCTAGCCACCTTCAAGTATGGCCTCCAGCTTGTTCTTCCCTTTAGTTCTGGTTTTCAATCTTTGCATCAACAAATTTCAAGCTTAAATTAAGCTTATTGTAGATTATATATGATGATATAAGTGTTCAAGATTTCAACTTGACTAGTGAAAAACAAAGTCAATCTTATAAGACTATATTAAGTCAAAATTTATATTTTAAAATAATATTAAATGCTATCTGACTTATCGATTATTATTAGTTTTATCATATCATTATCCTGCAAACTTTATATAAGCTGGAAATATTCAGTTTTCACGTAAAGAAAGTATAATAAAGTATACCGAGTAACAATTCTTTACCTTTCACACTAAAGTTACACCCAAATTGACGTTGATGATATATATCAGTCAGATCAATAATGCTGAATTATGACATCCTTTTACAGAAACAAAGTTGAATAGAATTTGAACTTTATATTATATATATACGCATGTAGTGGCAAAAAGTGTCCAGATAAGTTGTCTTGGTTTTTGTGTTTGTCTCAAGGTTGGACGGATTAGATACTTAACTATTTGAATTAATGAGAGATATTGATAATTGAATTTTAAAAATGTTTTTTGGATGCAGAAATATAGATCTCATAGGAAACATTTGCTGGCGCGTGAGGCAGAAGCAGCAAGCTGGAGTCAAAGGAGGCAAATGTATGGAGTAGGGAAGAGAGAGGGGAGTGCATGGGTGGCACCAACCATGGGTTTCCCTCCTCATCCAATGCACCATTTTAGACCCCTTCATGTATGGGGGCACCCTTCCATGCACATGTGGCCAAAACATTTGCCACATTCACCACCACCACCACCACTCTCATGGCCACCACCACATCAAGACCCTTCATTTTGGCACCAACGGGTTGGTTAACTCTTTAAACTTTTACCTAACAATGAAACCCTTTATTTTTTTATTTTTTTATTATTTAAGGTTTTGTTTGGAATATACAAATCATAATGAAAGAAGAAAATTAAGTTTTAGATCTCATTATTTTATTAATTAATATTAGATTTTAAGTTTATTTTGGGCGAGTAAAAAAGAAAATATATATTTCGTTAAAATAAAAAATTAATAATTGATATTTGAATCTTGTTCAAATTGAAGTTATCTGATTCTACTCTTGTTTTTTTTTTGTTAATTCCCTATCTCTCTAATTAAAAACATTTTCTCTTAATTTTATGTTCTAGATCTATTAAAATATTATGAATAGTTAACTAAAGGGGTAAGGAAAACACGTATCGATTAAAACTTATTTTAGTTTACCACATTGTAATTAATAATAAACAGCTAGTTATCATTAAAAAAAATGTTATATATAATAACATATATTATATTTATTGTGTAGATAAAATTAATTTTTAATGACATGTATCGTGTCACTATAGGGTATGTGTTACTATATGACAATTTTCTTGTAGTGTATATATCATATTTTTAATCAAAATATTTAAATGTATCAAATAAAAATTATTAACTACTTAAAAACTTATCCACGCCTAATTACATGAAAAGTGTTTTTTTTTCCAACAAATAAAAATTAAACCTAGTTATTAATTATTCATCTTTTTGTTATTTGTCCAAGATCTCATGTATATACACTTGTTTGAAACAGGCTCCAAACACATTAATCCCAGGAACAGCTTGTTTCCCACAACCTCTGACACCAACGGTAACTACTCATTACACGCCTTACTATTTTTGGAGCCATGCAATTGCCTTCACCTAGGAATCTTGGATCCTTTTACAAACATTAACAGTATATAAAATAATTGTCATATTTACTCTGAACCACGAACACAAAGTATGTAGCACTATAAGTTTGGCTCACTCACAATAGAGGAAATACAAATATTATGCAGAGATTTGGGAGTCCTCCTGTCCCCGGCATTCCACCCCATGCCATGTACAAACCAGTACCAGATCACGCCATTGCTGTCCCTCCTCCCAGGACCTTATTCGACTTTCATCCGGTAAATTTCTTTCTTTTAACCATCAAGTGTCGGTTTAGTAGTTAAAAATTGGAATAATATATATAGAATTTTAGATTAAAATTTTGATATTATCATCGTAATTTTACTAATATATATATATATATATATTATTGTGAATCAGAAGTTGAAATAATATACACAAAATTTTATATTAAAATAAATTTTATATTAAAATTTATGAATAAAAAATATATATGTATTGATTGTACATTAGGTTGAAATTAATGATTATTCTTTTGAATAATGATATTTTAATTAATGTACAAGATTCTTTTATGAGGACCACTTCATAGTAATACCCTCACTCTAATTGTAACCTTTTATGATGAATCATCTTTATGAGGACCACTTCATAGTAACACCCTCACTCTAATTGTAACCTTTTATGATGAATCATTATAGATTGATATCTCACGTAACTTAATTGTGAAAGGTATCTTTTACTTGTCTTTCTTAGTATTCCATCACTTTTTCCAAAATCACATTTATCATTTTGTTCGTATGGTTTATAAATAGAAAGTTTTGGTAAATGTTTCATTGAACTTAGACGCTTGTACAAAGTATTTGGACATGCATAGTTTTTTTTTTATCAAATGGACATGCATATTTAATTATTTAAACACAATTTTTATTATATTTTCTCTCACATGAGGTGTATACATTTTGAGGATTGTTAAATGATCATATATTTTGGTTTTACATATGAAGAGTAGAATTACATGATTAATTAAATAATTTGTATGTATAACTTTTTTTATTGATTTTGATTTTGCAGTCAAAGGAGTGCATAGATGCAGCAATTGGAGATGTTTTATCAAAACCATGGCTGCCACTACCTCTTGGACTTAAGGCTCCAGCTCTTGATAGTGTGATGAATGAATTACAGAGACAAGGAATTCCAAACATTCCACCCTCTAGTGCTTGAAAGCAACCCTTCTTGCATGGAAGAGACGTTCTTCTCTGAAGGCCACTTAACCTTAATTCGACGACTTCTCATCATCCATTAGATGTTGCATTGCATATATGTTACATCTAAGCTACTATGTGAGTGATTCATGTCTTTTTTCTTTAATTTGCTTTTAACAGCAAAAAGAAAAGAAGAAGAAAAACTCTTGAAGACTTTTTCTAGTTTTTCATATGTGCTATAATGCATGCATGAGTTAATGGTTTTAAGTGATCTTGGTCATTATAGTCATTTTGTATATGCACTACGGTTGTAAAGGCAGTGATTTTTGTATTAAGAAGAGGAAATCCTAATAAAGTACTTTCATCAAATATTTCTATTTCGGATAAATCTCTAATTAAGTGCTCACTTTAGGCTTTCGCATTAATATTCTCACTTGATTTAATTTATCCTACATTTGATAATATAATAGAAGAAAAAAAGAAATTTAAATTTATCTATCTTATTTTTATGCTATAGAATTTGAGGTGTGTCGGGAGGATAGAATAGAGAAAGAGAATGTGAAGAAAAATATTTCTTTTGAAATTATAATATATAAAAATATATAATGGATGGGTAGTGTAGAGTTGTATGAAAAAATAAGTGAGAAAATATCAGCATTCTTACTGTTTTAAGTTGCATGCATAAATGTATAGTCATATACACTAGCAAATATTCATTGTATTATATGATTATTTTAAATTTAAATAATATATTTTTAAAAATGTTTAACATAACTTAAAAATATGAATCAAGGAAAAAAAATTGAAATTATAGAAAACAAACACATGGTTTAAAAATAAAATAAAATTTCGATAAGGATAAAAAAAATGAGTTTAATGGTCCAATATAAAATTATTTTATACAACAGACAATCAAGTTTCTCTATTTTGCCACATTAAATCATATGATTTTAATTGAATTAACAAAAACCTAAAAATGATGGGTTAAAGTTTTGAAATAAGTGGGGCAAAGGATGATATCTCGAAAAATGGAGTTTTATGATGTGAAAGTAGGGTAGAGGAGTGACCATAAAAAAATAGAGTTAGAGTTTTTAACGGAAGACTAAGAGGAGGAAAGTGACTTGAAAAGATGAGAGTTGAGATTTTGAGATAGCTAGAGAAGTGGGCAAAGAATGGTGACACAAAAATGGGAGTTGGATACATCATATACTTTATGATAAAGTTGACAATTTCGGTCAAACCTCAATCGAGGAGAGCAAATGTTGCTTCTTTAATAGATAAGTGGAGATAAAAATGAATTATATTTTATATTGGCAATATGATTCTCAAAATTAAGGTATGAGTTTTTAAAAGTTAGACCCAACTTAAATTTTTGTTTAAAAACGAGCAAGTTACATACGCTCACAAGTCTCATTCTTTGAATCAACCAATATATAATCTCAAAATATTTATATTACAAATTTTACGCAATAACATTAAAAATATTAACATTATTGTCATATTAATTTTATTTATTTAAATTAGTTAATTAGGCTGTAATATTTTTTTTGAATGGTATAAATTCTAATATTTTATTTTACTGGACTTTTAAAAGGATAATAATCTTATTTATTATATATGTCTCATTTCACTTATAACGGGGCTACTTGATGGGATCATTGTTTATGAATTATGAAGGTATATATAATGAATGTTTATATATATTTTAATAATTGATAGAGTTATTTTAAAATATAAATTAAGATATAAAGTTTAAAAGTTATGGATCATTTTTTTTATTCGATTATACGTACGATCATTTAAACATGTCTTAAATAATAAGTTTAAAAAACTTTTTTGTGTGTATCAAAGGATTTTTTTAAAATTGCTCAATGAACTTGCACTTAAAGATTAAACTCAAATGAAAAATATTAATTTATTAGATAAAATTGACATGACATGACAATAACTTGTATAATTATTAGTCTAAAAAATAATTATTCTTTTTATCAATGTTAAATATAAGTGGTGTGAATTGTTTCAAAACACTATATATATA